CTGGGTTAAGGAAGGAATGAACCAGCTGTCCATCCCATTTTGTCAAGAAATAAAATCTTTTCTTAAAGCTACCCGTGTGCTAATTACGGGTTGTGACTGAGTCACAGGCCTCCTCCAGCTGGAGAGATCTGGGGAAGTCCTTGTCTTTCCTGGCTGTGCTAGAGGAAGGCACTAAGGGAATGGGGGGCGCTGGAGGGGCAGCAGGGGTTCTGGCTTCATCCCTGTGCCCTAACCCTAACCAGCCTCCCTGTCTCAGCCTCCCAAGGGGGGCTTCCCGCCGCCTCCTGGACCAGTGCTCGTTCTAGTCCCAACATGCATGCAGCTATCTGTGCTGGCCTGCTGTGGTCGCTGCTGCCTGATGCTGCCCCAGCCCTTTCTATGCTTTATCTTGAGACAAGATTTCACCAAGTTGCCCATACTGGCCTCAAACTTGTGACCCTCCTGCCTCAGCCTCTTGAGTGGCTGGGATTACAGGTGTGAACCCAGGCACTCCCTCATTTTAATCCTTTTGCTTCCTTGGCTGAACAGTGCTCAGACCTCAGGCACCTTGCTCCGCCTTCACCTGGCTTCCACTTACGCACTCTCTGTCCCTTCTGAAATGAAAGACTGGAGAAAAAGCTGTGTTCTCCCCGTTTCTTAGCCTACGCCCAGACACCTGCAGTCCCCTTCGAGGCCACACCCCTGGCCTAAGCTTCTCCCTCAAGGTCCCACCTCTTAAAGGCCCACAGCACGGCCCAGACCACCACCACCCTGGGACCAAGTTTTCTTTTTTTCTTTGCACCAGGAATCGAACTCAGGACCTCACACTTGCCAGGCAGGTGCTTATGCTGCTGAGCTATATCCCGGTCCAGACCAAGCTTTCATACTTCATACCCTGAGGGGCATGCGTCCAACCCGCAGCAGCAAAGGAGTCAGGGCTGCAGATCGTTCATGTGGGGCTCAGCGTTGTGTCACTGGTGCTCATGAGATGAGACCAAGGGAGACGGCCGAGCGGGTGACTGTGCGGGGGAAGGTGCCTGGGCCCAGCCAGCACAGCTTGGAGAGGAGGCACAGGCCGCGGCGGTGCCCAGAGCCCCGGCACGCTGGCAGGCCGCCTTGGGTTCGCTCAGTCCAAGCTGCAGCGGGTGGTGGTGTAAACGCCCCACCACGTCCTCGTCACAGCTGCCGCGTGGGGTCCCCAGCAGGGGTTCGGGAGCCAGGCATGCAGTTCGCTCTCGCAAAGCTCAGCCTGATGCTGCAGAACACGGCCTGGAAAGCAAGCTGAGAGAAAGACAAAAATGACAAGCGTGCCGGGCGTGCTGGCGCATGCCTGGAGTCCCAGCACTCGGGAGGCTGAGGCTAGAGAATCAAGATGAATTTAAGGCCAAAACATCTCATAAGCCAGAGACGAACACCCGCCGAGACAATGGCTCTCTGGGTCTCACTGCTGTGTGACCCATGCAGAGGGACATGATTCTGCCTCAGAGCACGGCTGTAACTGCACACAAGTTTCATATGGAGCCTTTTAAAGATCACTTGTTCAAAGTATAATTTTAATCACCATCACGATGTTTTATTTAGCCTTTTGAGTGTTTTCTAGAGGAGTGCTTAATTTCTAAATGTGAAGATGTTTGGTTATGTTGTTTGTTTGTTTGTTTGCTTGCTTGTGACAGACAGGCTGTTACTATGTAGTCCAGGCTGGCTTTGAAGTCACAGCGATCCTCCTGCCTCAGCTTTCCAAGTGCTGGGATTACAGGCGTGCACTACCAGGCTTGGCTTTTTTGGTTATCTTTTTATTACTTGCAACTTAATTGTATCATGATCTGAGGCCTATCTCCCTGGGTGGGGGAAAGTGAGACTTGAACTCAGAACTGTCCGGCTCCAGGGAAAGACCCTGCTGTTGCAGTTGTGCCTGGTTCTCCTCACAAGTCCGCTGGATCCATTCTACAGAACAAAACAGCCGGAAGTGCCGTCTGCAATGGACAGAGAGCTGCTTGCTGCACCCTGACATTGCTTGCACTCCCACAAGGGGAGGCTCACTACCAGCCTTTCCGCAGTGAGCAGCCTCAGTGTATGGGAAGCCCTGCACCTTGGGAAAAATTTATCACCTGCAAGTTTTCGGTTCTTGCCGGGCGGCGTGGTACACACCTCTAATCCCCACACTTAGGAGGCTGAGGCAGGAGGATCCTTGCGAGTTTGAGGCCAGCCTGGGCTACAAAGTGAGCTCAAGGCCAGCCTGAACTGCGTAGTGAGACCCTGTCTCAAAAAGACAAAAAAAAAAAAGTTTTTGGACCTTATCATGGGTCCTGAGGCCCACACATTTTTCTTCACATAAAATAGCAGTTTAATATCATAGCAACTTTTTTTTTAGGCATGATGCATTTATCACAGTGTCTTAGGCTTTTTTTGATGTATTATCTCATTTAGTATTTGAAATTAACTATTACTCTCTTCCCTGGGACAAAGACAGGAAGTTCTCAATTTACAACGGATTGTGTTCCTAAAATTCCTCTGTGAGGCCGTTGTTTGGCTGAGGGAACTGCTTTCCCATATAAACAAGGTTATAAATGGCTCTGCGCAGGGAGCCCTCCGGCCTGGCTGACCCATCTGCCCGCCCAGCGACACACGGGTGTGACAGTGAAGACCCACAGCGCAGTGGGGCTTGGTCACAGACACTCAACAATGCAGGGCTAGCAGGAGGCGGGCCGGGGCCGGCTGTTTGTTCTCTGTGCCGCTGCCCGAGGAAGTGCCGGCTGAGAGACAGCAGCCAACATTGCAGCCAGCTGGGGATGCTGGGGATGGCATCAGAGCTGGCTTTGGGTTTAATTTTTGTTTTGTTTTGCTGTTGTTTGTTTGTATTTATTTATTTATTTATTTATTTAGAGACCGGGTCTTCCTGATGTAGTTCAGGCTGGCCTTGAATTCATGGCCATCCTCCTGCCTCAGCCTCCCAAGTGCTGGGATTACAGGCCTGTGCCACCACTCCCAGCTCTGGAACGAGACACAGTGGCCCAAAATATTCCCCAAAGGCTGCTCCCTGGGGTGAGGTTGGGGCAAAGATTCAGAGGACTCTATCCACAGCTTTTGCCATTTCCTGCCCGGGGTAGGGAGCCAGCTACTGATCTCTCTGAGGGTCCACACTGGAAAGTGGAAATACCAAGGTCCTTCCAGGGTGGGGAGGATTTAAAGGGACTGTGTGTGTGAAGTAAGCAAAGGGTGCAGCATCTGGCACATAATAGGTGCTCAGTAAATGGTGACTGGGATTGTTAAAAATAATATAAGTTTGGCCAGGTCCCTGCCCAGGGAAAAAAAGGTGGAAAGGAAGAGCCCCAGTGCTCGGGGTATGGCAGAGGGTCCCAGGTCCGGCCAGGCAGCAAGCAGGCAGTAGTCATGGACAACGGGCCACAGAGTCTCAAAGGCTCGCGGAGCTCAACATTGTGTGGCTCTTTCACAGTTACATGAGTGAGACTCGGCTGGTCTATCTGGGGGTGGTGAGTCTGGTGGCAGCTGTTTTCCCTTTCGGAAGAGGGCCACATACACAGCGTCTTGGGTCATCCTGGGCCCTTGGCTCATCCCTCTGCAAAGGACCTTTGGGACTAGACAGGGGCTGCTGCTATATCCTTATCATTGCCTGCACCAGCTACAGAGGACCTGCCACCCCCACATCCCTGTGACCACCCAGCTGCCCATGCGGCCATCCTGTGATCGCCGGGAAGGACGGATACTCCTGGGCTGGCGCTGGGTTGCTGAGCTTGCGTCTCCAGGCCCAGTCCCCAGCTCGTCTGAACACCCCCACCCCGCAGGACGCCCAGCTGAGCTTCAGCCCAGAGCTCCGATGTCATCATTGTCCCCCTCTTTCCTGCTTCCTGATTTTAAGCAAGGGACATAGGCCCTCTGGGTTTCGCTTTTGCCGCCAGGAGCTGGGCACGGAATCTCACAAGCTGCGTGAGCTTATTTTGAGAGTCAACAATAACTTCCACGAAGTGCCCGGTCCAGAGCCTGGCAGATAAAAGCCACTCAATAAATGGGAGTTGCTGTTAGCATTCAAGATTGGGGCAGCCGGGTGTGGTGGCGCACACCTGGAATCCCAGCACTTGGGAGGCTGAAGCAGGTTGGGAGTTCAAGACCAGCCTGGGCTACAAAAAGTGAGCTCAAAGCCAGCCTGAACTGCATACTAAGACTCTGTCTCAAAAAAAAAAGACAATGAAAAAAAAAAAGTACGGGGCAGAGGACCCGGCTAGTGCTGGCAAAGAGAATACACAGATGCTTCCTGGGCAGGGCAGCACCTTCCAGGAGGTGGACACAACCTGTCGCTTCAGGTCTGCGCCCCTCTCTTCTTTCTCCCTCCACCGCCCCCTTTCCACTCTGCAGAGCCATCTGCCTGCCACGGCTGGCTCACCCTGGGTTCAAGTCCTGCGGTGTAGTGCTGAGAAATTCGCACACCCTCTCTGAACCTGAGGTCCTCCTTCTAACCAGGAAGAGAACGGTGACACCTTTCATTTATTCAAGGAGTCTGGGTCTGGGCCCTGGGTGGGGGCCCGGCTGCTGCGGTCCCCACCCTCCAGCACCCCAGGTGTGTATGTAATGCTTCTAAAATCCAGGACACAGACGTCCTTCCCTTGTTTGTCGGGAGCAGGACCTTTGTTCAGATGAAATCTTAAACAAGACAAAGGCATAAAAGCCAGATCGAAGGGGTGGCTGGGCGGGGGCCCCCCGCGGCCGGCCCGGGGGATCCCAGGGTCGACAGGTGGCTGAGCCAGCAGAGCCTCGGCACACGGCAGGCTTCAGGGAATCTTCCTCTCCTCCTCCTCCTCCCCTCCTTGCAGACGAGAGTAGGGTGCGAGGCACACGACCCTTCCCGTGTCTCGGCCAAGGGCATCCAGGGCTGGGAGTCTGGGGTGCCGCGCGGTGGAGACGTGCGCGCGCCCGCGCTGGTGCTGCAAGCCAGCTCGCCCCCGCCGCCCGCCGATTATCTGATGGGCCGCTTCCTTCATCGGCGCTAATATCCCTGTAGCGAAACAATGGGAGGGTTTCCTATCGGGTCCAAAGAGGACGTGAACAGCTCGCGGCTAAGAGCAGAGGATGCTCCAATAGGGCAATGGGAAGCGCCTGAGTCACTGAGGGCCTCTTTGATTCCCAGGGCCCCATCACTGAAGAGGAAAAAAGGAGAGAGTGGCTCATTAACGGTCCCAGCCAGGGGTCAGGGAGGACGACCTGTCACGTGGAACCTCCCCGAGGACCTGGAGCCGGTGGGTCCCCAGCAGCGCTCTGGGACTGCGGCCGCCACATGGTCAGGTAAAAGCCTCTTCGGGGAGGGACGCTCGGGTGTCCCGTGCACACACCGCGGCCGCTGCTGCGCAGCCCGGGACAGGGCTGCCCCACCCCCACCCCACCTGCCTGCCGCTCGGATTTTCTGCAGGAAAACGGGACCTTCGTGCACCCAAAGAGTCGCCTTGGCTGCTTCTGACCCAGTGTCCCTGGACAGGGAACCTCTTTTCCCTTGTCCAGGACTGTGTTAGGCCAGGCCGGGGTGCGGCTCCGGAGTGGGCGCCTGCCTGGAAGAGCGGGGCCCTGGTTCCATCCTGGTTCTGGCTGGCGCATTGTCCTGCAAAGGTCAGCTCCGAGCACGCCTGAAGGAAGAATGATCATTAACTCCCAGGCAGTGCGAGCTCCTAACATTCCTGGAGTTAATCGTCTATCCAAGGCCGCTGCAGCCCTGGGTATCGGTCTCAGAAACTCAGTGGTGAGGCCTCTCGCCTGCCGTCAGGGAGCTGCCCAAGGGGACCGGGCCCCAAGTCTTGTTTTGGGGTCAGAAGCCAGCGTCACGAATGAGCGACTCTCCTAATAGTCCTTCTTGGCTGGTGCGGGCAGACTGTGTCCAGTCAGCCTTCGGGGTGAGACAGAGCGCTGACCCGGTCTGGACCACATCGGCCGGTTCTGGGAGTCATCCGCCTGCATGCTGGTGAGTGGGCCGGCAGCGTTTCAGGACATGCTGGTAAGTGCCAAAGACGCTTGCTCAGCCCGTGCCACAAGGGAGCCTCCCCTAGGAAGTGCGTTCTCGGTGAGGAATGCAGATCTCCGGGCCGCAGGGGCTCTGCTCAGCCGCCAGCCGCAAGCCCAGAACAATGCTGAGCTGGGCTCGGCCCAGGTGTGTGCGTGGGGACCTCTTCCTGTAGCCTCCTAGGCTGGGGCCGGGCCCAGCGGGCTGGCTGCGTTTATTGTCCATTGTCCTGGCTGGGACAGGAAGCACTTTCTGTTCCCAATTGCTTGGCTGGATTAATTTACAGTGCAGAGCTGGAAACCACGGCCACACCTGTTTTTCCCTTCCAGAGACCAGCTTCCCGGCGGGGGTTCAGGAGGCAGGGACACTGCCTCCCCGGGGCCCCGCCACACGCCTCTGGGCACCTCCCCAGGGGCACCGGGCCGGGCTCTGGGAGGCCCTGCCGGTTTGCTCGGCCCATGGTACCTCTGAGCCAGCCCAGCCAACCGGGAAAGGTTAGTCCATGGGGTACCCTCCACATCAGTCAGCGACCAGCAGTGACGATAAAACCTCAGCGATGGCATCTTCTCCTGTATGGTACTGGGGGCCCGCTGTCCATGCCCACTTCCTATTCGGTTAGGGGACACACCCAGGTGGTTTCATTTATTGGGTGTTGTCCCCTTTTTAAAAATTGTTTACTCTGAGACAAGGTCTCATGAAGTCATTGTGTTTGCCAGGCTGGCCTTGAACTTGTGATCCTCTTGCCTCAGCCTCTCAGGGCACTGGGATTAGAAGAGTGCACGCCGCCTCCTGCCCCCACCGCCAGGCTGGGAGTCCCAATTTACAGGTGGGGAAACAGGCTGAGAGGGAACTGGTTGCACAGGTCACCCGCAGAGGGTCTGTCCAGGACCCTGATTCTCAGACTCCAATGTCCCCAAGGACCAGGCAAGCGTGGAGCCAGTGAGGCTGGGGTGTGGGGTGAGAAGGGCGAGGGGGGGCACTGTGCCTGTCCAGAGCTGCTGCCCGGCCCGGCCTGTGTGGCCCGGGGGCTCACACTCTCACATGCAATCGCCCGAGTTTCCCTGTTCTCAACTTGAACACCTGGCACAGCCGTGTGCAGCTATCCGGGACCCACTTGGGGCCTCGGCCCTGCTCCGCTGTGCTGATGCTAACGGTGAGCACCTGCTGTGTGCGTCGTCAGGTCCTCTGTACGCCCCATGCACAGAGAAGGAAATCAAGGCGCCTGAGGGCAGGCGGCCCGGCCCCGCCCAGCTCCCGCCAAGCCTGCTGGTTCTGCCTTGTGTCGTGTACACCACTGATCTACAGGAAGAGACAGAGAAATACGTGCAGAGGGCAGAGGGTGCTGTGCTACCTCCAGGCCTGCCTCGTATTCACAGACGGCACCGAAAAGTCACCCGACCCCGCGCTGCCCACTAGCTGGCTCTTCTCTAGCCACTCCGAGTGCTGTGGGTGCCCCAAGCTAGCTCTGCTGTCCCTGCCCACCTGCCCCCGGCCCCTGCCACCCCTGCACACCGTGAGGAGGCTGTGGCCGCTCTGCCGAGCTGCATCCTCCCCAAGGCAGGGTGGGCGCGTTATCACGCAGCCCCGATCCAGGCTCGCCCGCCGCTGTCCCCTGAGTGACAGGGCTGCCCTTTGTGGTGGGGGAGATTAGAGGTGGGCTGGAGGCTGTGCGGCCCTCGCCGGGATGACAGGAGACGTCAGCCTGTGCGCTGCGGAGCCTGGAGCGAGCGGAGGCCTGACAGCCCTGGAGGGAATCCAAGGGGGGACGGTGCCCGCGCACAAAGGCCCGGCCTGTCTCACACCTGCGGGGACAGCGCAGCCCAGGGCCCGGAGCGGCGGGGCCGAGGGGGGATGAATAATTCTCCCTGAAAGAAGCATGTCACCAGGAGATAGCTCAGCCAGACACTTCAAATAAAGGCAAGCAGCCGCGGTGACAGGGGACATTCTTTGCCACCGATGTGCTGCTGGGACCTAAGTGCTGAGATGTCGTGAAAGAAAAGCGCCTTGAACCCTTTATAGTTATTTTTATTAAAAAATAATATTGAGACAGAGAGAGGGGGGAGGGGAAGATACCACCACAGACACAGGCCTGAGCCCCAGCGCCCGGGGGCCAGGTAGGAGCCCTGCTCGCTGTCGAACTGTGCTGCCGGGACAGGTGGACCCCTGGCTCCCACTCTTCCGCCTTGGGGCCTGTGGCTCCCAGACCCCCACGTGGGCACCCTCCCCACCTGCCCACTGTGCCTCGTCCCACCTGGGCCTCGTCCTCCTCTCAGTGTCTGTCCCATCCCATGCCACAGCCCCCAACAGTGTCCTGTCCATGGTGGCCACTCCCTGTCACCGGATGAAGATATTTACAGTGGCTTTTTCGATGAGGCCGTAAGCCTACAAATATTAGTATGCTAGTTTTTAAAAATGGCCCGTTAGCCAGATGTGGTGGCTCATGCCAGTAATCTCAGCACAGGAGGCTGAGGCAGGAGGATAGCCAGGAGTTCAAGGCCAGCCTGGACTAGGTAGCGAGACCAGTCTCAAAAACAAACAAATCAGGCTGGCAATATATCTCGGTGGCACAGCGCCTGCCTGGCAAGTACAAGGTCCTGAGTTCGATTCCCTGTACCAAAAAACAAACAAACCCCCAAAATATCCCTTTTAATGTCCATTCACAGAAGGAAAAAATAAGTGATAATGGATTCAAACACAAAAGCACTCGTCGGCCTTTCAGAAGATGAGGCCGATCTACACACGTCCTCGTGGGTGGAGGTCACAGCATTGAGTGTGATAGTTGTAGCATGGCACGTGTGTGTACACATGTACGTGTTGTCTTAGTCTACGCTGCATTGCTATAACGAAACACCCACATGGGTGATTTGTGAAGCTGAGAGCTTTGTCTGTCTTATCTTTTGGAGGCTGCAGATCCAAGCAGCATGTGGCTGGCTCTGGCGAGGGTCTCCCAGCCACATCATGCCACGGCAGGTGGCATTGGGAGGCTGTGGATGCAGCGGGAGAGCATGCATGTGAGATAGGAAACCAGGGACCTGGCCAGGCTGGTAGCCTTATTTTTTTTTCTTCAGTACGAAGGATCGGACCTGGAGTCTTGCACTGAGCTGCATCCCAGCTGTCCTATAATTTTCACTTTTTATTTTGATACAGGGTCTCACTAAGTTAAATTGCCCAAGCTGGGCTCGAACTTGCAATCCTTGTGCCTCAGCCTGCCAGAGTGCCAGGACACAGAGGGCCAAGCCTCCAACACTAGGGGGAGACCCAGCCAAACCGTAGCATCCACAGAGCCCTGGGAAAAGGCCAGAGGATCCCCAAGAGCATGAGTGATGAGCCCTTCTGAAGAGCCAGGACGGGGGCCCAGGGCCGCTGAGGAGCCACCACTTTGCATTTTACTTGGTTCGGTATTGTGTTATTCTTTTATGCCGAGCATATATCGCTTTTGTAAGTTAACACTGCATTCGCTTCATCTGTGTGGCTTAGCAGGGAGGGAGCGTTTTCCTGCCTGTGCTCCAGGAGGGCTTCGGCAGGAGACGAGAGGGAAGTCAGTCAAAAGGTGGTGGCCACAGCTCAGGTGGCCAAGGGAGGGGGATGGCGAGGGCAGGCCCAGCACAGGCCTCGGCCGCCAGCAGCTGCCCAAGGATGGCGGGAGCTGTGCCAGGCTCTGCCACGCAGGCCCGTGCATGTGCCACACTAGCCAGGGCAGGGTTTCGGGTGAGTGGCACAAGGGTCCCCAAGCCTGCGTGCTGGAACCTTTACCCCCCCCCCCGTTCACCTTAATGGCATTTGGACGAGGATTCTGAGGTGCCAGGATGAGAGGAAGTGTGAGGTGCAGCCCCTGGTGGCACTGGTGGCTTCCTGGGAGGAGGACAGGCCCAAGGCAGGGCACTTGTCTGCGTCCTCACATTGTGGCCCACACTCGGGCCAGGCGAACCTCCCTTTCTAGTACACCGCCGTCTGTGTGTTCCGTTACAGACCGGAAATGGCCGAGACGCATCCCCTCCCCACACCCGCGCTGCACGGGAGGCCGTGGCCAGGCGGCGTTGTCCCAGCAGAGCCCCCAGGCAACGCTGCCCCTCTGGCCCACAGCAACTCCTCTTTCTCCATCTCTACTGCGGTTTTCTCTCTTCTCTTGAATCCAAGAACTATGTTCAGCTAAGCCCCGTCCTTGGTCCCGGAAACTTCCTCTGGCTACGTGTGGGTAGGTGCCTGCCAGCATTACTCAGCAACAGTTCTCGGTGTGTGTGTGCGCGTGTGCATGTGTGTGTCCAAGCATGGGTATGAGCATGTGTATATAGATGTGTGCACGTGGGTGTGCGTGTGTGTGCGCATGTCTCTACAGACACCTCCCTTGGTGTGATTTTTGGTTTGCTTTGGTTCGTGGTACTGAAGCGGAACTTCTAAGCTGCACCCCCAGCCCATGACCCCTGACTTTTTAAAAGAAAGAACCAGTATGTCAGTGTTTTTCCTTCTGATGCCAGGTTGGGTCCAGTATCTGTCTCTTAACACCAAAAAAGAAAAGGAAGTGTCCTGACTGGTGGAATCGGTGTTACCTTGGTACTGGTGAAACCCATGCCCAAGTGCGTCTTTTCTGCTGGTGGCCGGCAGAGGCGGCAGCGCCTACACAGATCCACATAAGACCCCGATGTCCCTGACACCATGGACGTCCGCAGGAGCCCTGGTGCTGTGGCCTCAGATTCCACCCAGAGCTCGCCCCGGGATCTCCCCAGGATGCCCGCTCCGAGGAACCCTGTCGCCTGTGACTCCGCCTGGGCTCTCGTCCTTGTCCTCGCCCATCCCCCCATCCCGCCCTCCCGCCGTCCCCCTCTCCACACTGACCTGCAGGTGGCCTCGGCCCCTGTGAGACACCTGTGGACACGGCAGGCTTCATCAAAGTTTCAGGGCAGTTGAGGCAACAGTGCCGCACCCCTGAATGGGGCAGGGGGTCCCTCGGGTGAAGGGCTCGGTCGTTGTGCTCAGGAGCCCCACGCTGCCCTCCGCAGCTTTGCCAGCACCCTCCCCCTCTGCCTGCTCTCTGCCCCCAAGTCACAGCCGGCTGCTCCCTAAGGCTTGATGGCTGTTACTGGAAGGTGCTTCCCAGGGAAGAGGGCCGCTCCGCGCAGGACCAGCAGCCCTGAGCTCAGCCGGGCTGGGTCTCCTCCCACTTTCTCTGCTCACACAACACTTTGGGGAAAGAATGAGGCTCCTGAAGCCAGAAACCAGCCCAATTTGCTGCGGAGGGGAAACAGAAGCCTGGACCTGTGATCCGAGGGGGCAAGCTGTCACCAGCCTTAGGCTGACCGAATCCGGTGACGTCCTCTGTGATGTCTCCTCACGAGACTAGCAGAGGACACAAAGTGGTGGGGTCACAGCTCATACCCAGGAGCGTCCTCCTTAAGATCTGGAGCAACCTCCTCCCTCCAGCAGCAGTGCTGTGAAGGGTGCTCGCCTTGAAGAAACAAGGTTGGGAGCCAAACGTAGTGCTGTCATCTCCACGCTCAGGCGGCTGAGGCAGGAGGATCCCCATGAGTTTGAGGCAGCCTGGGCTACACAGTGAGTTCAAGTGTAGCCTGAACTACATATGGATACCCTGTCTCCAAGAAATAAGAAAGTTGGAAATCAGAGTCATTGTAGAAGAAAGGGCTGCTCCACCTGAACCTGACCTGGGGCCCTCAAGCCCAAGTGCGACAGCAGATGTGAGGCTGGGGAGCAGTCTATAGCGCTCCAGGGACTCTGAGGCTATCCTGGATGCCTTTGCACCCCACCCTCACCCCACCGGCCACTGCAGGGCGATGTGGGGTCACCTTCGGGCAGGGCAATAGCTCCTCACCGGCACAGTCCTTGGCAGGCCCTCTTCCCATCTCTCGTGTCCTCTGCAGCCAGCTGCCGGCTGCAGTGACCCCCGTGTCCCTGCAGCGCTTCCATGCGGGGTGGGGGCGGGGGCTCACCTCCCCCTGGGTCCCAGCGTCAAGGTCACTGCCAAAGACAACCCCCTGCCGGAGGTCCCGGGTAGCTGTGTCACCTCCCTGAGCCTCTTTCCTGCTCGCGCTGTTGTGACACTGCTGTTGCAGCGTGAGCGTGGACAGTCCCCAGAACGTCACCATCCCTGGCTTCTGTTGCTGCCCTCGGAGCAGCGCTTGGGAAGCAGGGGCAGGCGGCTCAGGCGGGCGCAGATGACACCGAACCTCCAGGAGCGGCGTGGGTGAGCAGTTGGCACAGATCTGCTGCCCACTCCAAGCTCCCGGAGCCCAGGAAGGGCTTTTCTTTGTTCTGCTGAGTCGGTAACGCCCTCCCTGCCCAAGGGGCATCTGGGGCAGCAGCGTGGCCCTCCTGGCCCCTCCCCAGCCCCGGAATCTGCGTCCTCACCAGGCTTCCGTGAGCCTCTGAGCAGCGCTGGGGACTGTGGCAGCCAGGACCTCTGCCCTTCAAGAGAACCCCGACCCTCGGGCTTTGTTATGTGGGAGCTGCCCTTGGCCACTGCTGCCCTGATTCACTGTCCTCTGGGGTTTCCCTAGCAGGGGTCCCCAGTGCCTTCAACGTGACCCGCAGTGGGTTTCAATCCCGGTCTCTCTGCTCACTGTCACATCACAAGGATTTAGGACCATGCCGCCAGCTGCCCTGAGTAGCACACTCTTCTTTCTCTTCTTCTTCTTCTGTTTACATATATATATA